GACACCCGGAGCTCAGAGGAAGCCGGTTCACTCCGGCCAAAGGCCGCCCGCTCTTTGTCCACGTCGGAGGCTCTGAGAACCAGCCGGGAGCCCAGGAACCAGCTCAGACCCTGGGCCAGGCATGGAGATCCAACTCCGACCCACATCCATGTCGGCCATTTTGATTAGGTCACCAATAGGAAGACCCCAGGCAAGAAAATCCTAATCGCTTCATGGCGATATAGACATTGATTTAAAAATAGTGAAATGAATCTAGCAAACACTGAATTAAACTCTATACATAATATTATGTTAAAACAGTGTTTGTTAAATAGGTTTGTACAATAAGTCCAAACAAGTTTAATCAAAAAATATTTATTTCTCGCAATTATGAAGGGTGGAGGGTTAGGGTTAGGGTCAGTTTAGGGTTAGGACATCGTTTGTCTTCCGATTTCGCATAGACAGTAAAGTTTCGTTTCCACCTCAGAGAGCTGCTAGTCACATGACCTAATCAAAATGGCCGACTTGGATGTGGGGGGAGTTGGAGATCCTGTGTGCTTTAAAATGACAAAATCTTTTCCAAACCCTCTCGGTCCCGCTTTGAAGCTAACACTTGTAATTAACAGGTGATGAAATTGTGACAGACACCAATGAGTCGTTCCCTTTTTGTGCATTTTGTTGTATATAACCCCGTTTCAAAATGGTGGTCTAAGAAAACAGGACTTTTTTCCCCCTGTTTAGCGCTACAAATGGGTTTTCGCAAGGTTTTAGCTCAGATTAAGACGTTTCTATGGATACCAAACATGGCATCAAGTCCTCTGAATCTGGATGTATTTGTACATCAACCTCACTTTAAAAAAATAAGACGATGTTGATTTTATTCAAACATTTGGCCTCTGGATGTGTCCTCACAAACACCAAAACTGGGATGTTTTTGTGCTGCTGAATGAGGCCTCTGGACTCATCGGGGGCCATGTTTGTTTGGCTAATCCGGCAAAGTGCGGAGCCGCCCAGAGTTGAGTCACGGAGGACCGACTGTGCACGTGCACGTGCGCGCTCCGAGTTCAGGCCGGGCCTAAACCCCCAGCATCCTGTGGGTTTAACACAAAGTGCCTCAGAGGGATCAGACTGGCTCTTTTCTCAGATTTTCCCACTCACAGCTTAAACGTCTCATCTGAGAAATCCACGTTTTTCCCACCAGTCAGATGATCATGATTATTCCTTTTCTTGTTTTTTTTCTTCTTCCGTCAGAGAAAGAACATTAACATGAAGCATTTCTATCAAAAATCCTGCTTTTTTGGGACTTTTTGTACAGATACCATAATTTTTTTGTGCTCATATAAAACAACCAAAGCTTCATTCAGTCATGATTACCCGTCTGTTTTGTGTATTTTGTGCCTTTAACCACAAATAAATAAAAGATTCAGAAGATAGATTCAGTTCAGCTGACAAATCTCATCCTTTTATCTACAAAATTGGACCTCGATCACTGGTCATTGTAGTTGTGTTGATGGTTTAAATAGGAGCTGCTGGACTTTTTCAGGATGAAATTGCCTTGATTTTGTTTTCACTTTGAGTCCAGTGACTTCTCTTCTCTTCTTCTTCTACAAAAGCTTTATGGGAGAAGGGAGCAGATGTTGCTCCACAACCTGTTTCCAGCTTTCCAGATGTTTGTGGTTCCACCAGCTGTTCTTTAAGAGCCAGACCAGACCCTGCACACATCTGGAGCTGGGTTTGAAAAATGACCAGGCTCTGCTTATAAAAATACGTTTATTACGGTCAATTAACACACATCATCTATTCAAAGCAGATCATTTACCTTAGTTACTCATTTTAAACATTAAAAACCATGATGTGGCTTAGTTTAATCCCTTCTAACTGCACAGGATGATTCACAGAGGCAGAGGGATAAGCTCTTTGGGAAACAGAATATTCTTTATGAGCCCACTATGATGACCCTCCTGTCTTGGTGGGACATCTTCAGGTCACTCGGCCG